CAGCAAATAAAGTTCTGGTAGATAGGTACCTCGGAGATTTAACGTGCGCTTCCCGACTTAAGCCTATCTCGCACACGGGGAAGCACTTATACTATTAGGGTAAAAAAGCGTAATGATTAAATAAAGAAGTGCACCCCCCCCCCCCCCCCCCCCCCCCCCCACCTCTTTTATCCCTGTCGACGTTATCCTAATGTTCAATTTCAGTCTGCCTCACCAAGCGTAAGAAAGCATTGTACACGTTCTGATAAACCATACTGATGCAATTTAGCAAATGAATATTTGCTGTGGGCAAATATCTATTTTCTATATATATATTTGTGGATATGAAGCATTCTAGTTAATTGTGGATACACTGGGCAGACAGAATTGTGTTTATTTCCAGGCCATCCTGATCGTCGTTTACTACTATAAGGTGTATGTTTTGAGGCAAGATCAAAGGCGCCGCACAGCATTTATTAGATAACAGACGGGGTCGTCCGTTTCGCTTTAAACAACCACCCCACCCTGTCTGTAGGAGTTATATAATCGGTGCGCAAATAACTGTGTCAAGTCCACTGCCGGGCTGATGCGGTGTCAGTGTCAGCGATGAACATGAATGCTCAAATTATAGACCTGTAGCACTCACAAGTTGCTCAGCCAAAATATTTGAAAAGTGTATATTCAATTCTCTGATAACAGCAAATATAACCTTAGAAATAGATTCAACATACAAACAATCAAATGTAGAACACAGACCTATGCTTAATAATAATTTCTTCTGGATATGATCAACCTGCGGAACCCTCTATCCGATGAAGTAACTAATGCTCGCTCATTAAAAGAAATCAAATCATTAATTAATCGTTCTGATGCAATTACTAATAATTTTGACTTCAAATATTTTCATAGATCATGCCAAATTGTCCACTGTCGCCTTAGGCTCGGCTGCAGTGACTTAAACGCTGATAAGTTTAGACGACATGTATCAGACATACCAGACTGCACTTGTGGATATCACCTTGAAGATGCAATTCACTTTTTCTATAACTGTCAAAAAATACGATAATATCAGAAACACTGTGTATTTCTACACACATGGGTATGGTCTAAAAATGATATTACGTGGCAGTAGTTAAGCAGTTCTACAAACATGACTCTTCTTAAATCAGTTCACGACATCATTGTCAAAAGCAAAAGGTTTGAGTAGCTTAATTTTATGCATGTAGTAAAGGAAAACTGCATTACCTTATTTCACAGACACCACTTGCTTCAGTGTATTGGCTTCGTGTATTTCATTTGTGCATTTTATATGTTTATGTTCATCACTCTCTTATATATATCCAGCTGTTGTTAAGTTGTTACCTGGAGTGGTATTACATTTACCGATCCAGATTTCTTTTGAAATAAAAATACGTTTAAGCCAACACAGCTAACCCTAAAACACATGATTGTAAACTATTCACAAAGGGGCACTAATCTCTGGCTTCTTCTCGGGTGTCGGACTCAAACTCAAACTCATTTATTCTTAGAATAACATGACATACAATTATCTACAATTTTTATTATGTACAATTTAACAAAAATAATAAAAATAGGATACGTGGATACTAATACAATTTACCAATTGGATTGTACACATTGTTAAGGAATTTAGATAGGCCTTTTAGATTTCTTAGACTGTTAATGGTCATAACTTTCTTAAATGTTTGGAAACTTAAGATATTGCTTATTTAAGAGTTCATATCGCCGTTGGTGAAAAGCTTCACATTGGAATAAATAATGCAATTCATCTCCCATAGCCATAGATTCACAAAGTGGACACTGGCTGTCTTCCCTGGGAATGTTCAGCCATCGACCTGTTTCAACTGGTAATCCTTGGTTAGAAAGTTCTGACTTTAAGTTTGAGAGCAGTAGATATTTCGCAAATGAAGGTTGATTCTTCAGGTAATACGACCTTTGGATTTCCGCTTGGGCTTTCTAGCTGCCGTGAGTCAATTTGCTCGTTAACGCAACCGAGCGTGACAAGAGACTGGGCTACCAGTCTGCAAGGACAGCTAAATAAGCTTACGCATTTTTGAAAACTGATTGGTTACCCGTGATCTATGAAGATTTCAACAAAGGGCGCATGGTAATTAATTTCTTCAGCCTAAACAAACAGACAAATAACGGCGAAAGCTCATCGGATGTCGTTATTTGGAAATACCCCTGATGGTTACAGTTTAATAATAAAAAAGTATCCCTGAGTGAAAGCATTTGCGGATTTCGGATTGCGTGGATGATACAATTACTACTCCCTTGTTGTCATCCACATTTTCTGGTATAACCCTACACTTGTGTATTTGTCGTAATTCACTTGCTGCTCAGTTAATGAATTTATAACATGTATACTTAGTTGTAGCACCACTCAGATTATAAAGGTTCAAATTTGGTCTTTCTTGTACCTGGGGTAATTATTCAATCTAAATCCAGGTTTGAAGTGAGGTGGAATGTGAGTTATGTGATACGCACGTGGCAGCCCAGCAAGAGATGTATGGTCAGTTGCTTTACTTTTTTTGTAAATCAACTGATCATTCCCAGACATCAAAGGATCAACAGGAAATACGTTGATTGATTAATTACTGTTATCTTGCACAGTGGATATGTCAAAAGTAAGTGTTTACATGTGAAGGTAGGTTTACTAAACCTAGGCAATACACTCATATCATGGCGTCAAGTACAGATGTAAAAACAACGTACTTTGTTCAAAGGGTAACCGATAATACACTGACTGGTTGTTCATTGTTATCTAACTCAATGTATGTTTTTAAGAACCGAGGACATTATAAAAATAGTTGTCACGTGGGCTTTCTCAGCTAACTTGGCAGCTATGTGAAACAATTGAAACAAACTAAGTGATCAGCTAAGAAACAAACACGGGTTATAATATTCGATACATTTAAATAACGTTTAAAACGATATATTTAAATATTTTAATATATTTCATATATATTCCAAATATTGTTTCCAAATAATTATTATTAAAGTATTTGATTCTCACATAGACATTTGACATCGAATAAGTATTTTTGTACAGCTGCAGACGCAATGGATATTGTTCCTTTATGTTGATATTCCCGGATACATTATAACTTTGGTAGGTTGTAATAATTATATTTGCATTTTGTTTTCATTCATTCGTTGCAGCTTTGAACAGAATCATTCTTGTTCCTTTCCGTTTGTTTGGGAAGTTTTTCGATGCGCGAAAGACGTTGTTTTCACAAGTATTTTCTTTTGTAAGCGTGTATATGTTACAGTCAATGTGTAAAATATGATTTACTCAGGCAATTTATTAAATATCTAAATATTTCAGTCATTTTACAAACTGACTGAATAATCCATTCATTTATTTAACCGACAGGCTAAAAATGATAAAGACGATCAAAAGAGCTTAAACACATCACAATATATTAATTATGCTAAGAAAAGAAGCCCAACAATACAGAACTGTACTTGGTGATGATATTAAACATAAACAAATATTTGGAATTCATTATCATATTAATAAAGATGGACAAATTTACAGTTAATTTGTAAAATAAACTGAATATTTAGGCGTTTAATAAATTTCCTTAGTGAAATATGTTTACATTTTGAATGTAAACATATACACACGGTAAAATAAGCAATGTTCAGATGAAATATTTACTTTGTGTTGCAAGTCAAAATAGTGTACACAAAGATCGCACAATTACCAAGCAAGTGACTTACCAAAACTGCATCACCATTACCGATGCTCCCCACAAATATACCTACATTTCCAAAACTGTATTTCATTTTTGTTGATCAATGTGACCATACGTCCTTCTACGTTCAATAAAATTGCGCTTACGAATGGCGAGCACAGGTCGCGTACAAGTCTAGATTTCTGCTATATCATCCGGGTACTCACTGGAAAAATACAGTAATGCACAGGTAACAACTACTCCCGCGGAATTGCTTTAGATCAGTGCTCCTTTGTACGTTGAATTACTATATATTGTGAATGCCAAAATGATGTATCAAGGATCAAGTAGAAGATACATTGACCGTAGCGCTGGGAGTTTATTCAACAGACCCGTGAAAATAACACTGCTGTTTCTTACTATTTATTTTAGATGACGCAGTCAAAGCTCACTTCTCCTGGCGGCCATTATCGAACGGCCAGCTAAAACAACCCCGCGCTTACGTCTACAGGTCTCTTCCTGTAGTACGGTAATTAGTATTCTCTCCCTCAAGTGTATCCTCAATGATATAACCCACCCTCATTAATTACATGCTGCTCTTTCCCAGCCTCACTGCTATGGAGCTGAGATAAAGAGTCCAAGTCATCATAAAGTAATTAGGGTCCAATAAAAACAATGCGCCGCCAAACCTCATACATATTATCACTGAAAGTCGTACTACAGACGGTTAATGTCAAATCACAATAAAAGCATTTCAATTGCAATAACATGTTCCAGGACCATGTATTCTCTTAACACCATCGGATTTAGAAGCAATGGTCGTATAAAACAAGACAGATCTATTTAAACACAACAGTATTCATGTTATTCCCACAAAATCACATAAAGAAAGGAGACATTAGCAAATACATGTGTATTATAATTTTTCGTCAGGATAACAAAATTTTCTCTCCTTGTTACCACCTCCAGGTTCAGCTTAAGACGGGTCCTCCTTTGGTCAAAAGTTTGTTCCCCCTCTAATGAGTGTGTCACGCGTTGCACACGAGCGGCGGACGGGGTGCACACCCGTGTGCAACGCGTTGCACACGGGTATCACACGCGTGACCAACCCGATGCACACTGGTTGCGTAACGCGTTGCCCATGCGTGTAAGGGGAATGAACTTCTAGGCAGTAGTGTAGATGTATATATTATATATTTACAAATGTATATATTTTGTAGATATGAACATTCTAATGGGGCACACATACGTAAAACAAAAAACTCATGACATGAATTGGTGCCTTGATATGCAACAAGTGATAATCTTCTTTATTTCTAGCGGTGCTGATCATCGTTTACTTCTGCTACACGCATGGTTGGAGGCAGGATCTAAGGCGCCGCCCAGCATTTTATTAGACAAGAGACAGTGTCGTCCGTTTCGCTTTGAACCACCACCCAACCCTGTCGGTAGGAGTTAACTTATCGCTGTGCAAATGACTGTGTCCAGTCTATCGCGGTGTCAGTGTCCACTGATTTTGTGATAGATGCGAATGAAAACATTGTATATCGTATATTTTTGTTATTAAGTCCTCTTATTTGCTGATATTACCGAGAGTAAGTCGGAAGATCCACTACATTCCTTACTTAGGCTAAACAGTCCTGCTTATACTAGAAACACGAACAAGACATCTGTCATATCACTAGGGCGAAACGTTCAATGTTTTAAGATCGCGAGAGTTGGGGACACTGGCTGGGTTACACCCAAACATGCGGTTTGGAATCAGTCACTGACAAGATAAATTAGGTTAAATAAACAACATAATGAGGAATAACTTGACACGTTGAATAAGATTTCAAACGACACTGATTGTACTCAATAGCTCTCCTGTGCACATGTGGTGTCAAACAATACGATAATGCATAGCCACTACAAAGTTGTTTGACTGACGAATACCAAGTGTTCTTCATCCTATGCGTACGCTTCCATATATACGTACAACATTAAGTATTCTACCTGTGTAAAACATTATATAGCTGAGAACTGAGGAGACAAGTATTACTCGTATTCACACGTGGAGACCGCCTCCGTGGTCTAGTGGTAGAGCGTCCGCCCGGAGAGCGGAAGGTCCGGGGTTCGATCCCCGGCCGCGTCATACCAAAAGATGTGAAAATATGGTACTTGTTGTTACCCTGTCTGGCGCTCGGCATTCAGGGGCTAAAACAAGGACTGGTCGGCTCGGAGTCAGTATACTGTGTCTGAGTGGGGTATTCATGTTAAACTGCGGCATGGTATCTCAGTGAGCTAGCACTATAAATCGGCATCAGTCCGGACTAGTACAAGCAGCCACACAAACACAAACACGTACATGCACGTCGCTATATAAGTTAAACCCCATTTCACCTCACCCACCTTCACACGTGGAAGCAACCTATTGTAGATATAGTCATGAATGAAACTTGAAACGTTACAAAATGTCTGCTCCCATGTAATCTCTGTGGAAAAGAAGTGCCCACATGGTATATAATATATGTAAAATTGTGAAATCACTTCAACACATGCATATCAACAATAAGCTGATAGGTACATGGGTTTTTTCTGACGCCAATAACCGTTCATTGTCAATATACCTGGTGTCGCATGTGGCCGATATCAGACCGCGGCCATGTACCAGGGTGGCCTGTGACACAACTGACCATTGGCGAGGCACCTGGAATGGTCTGTGACGTGTGTTGTCCACGGGGGAAATTATTCACCTTTAACGTGAGATAACTGTCATTACGACCGTACACAACGACATCCTAAGTACATGCCAGAAACTGACTGGAGTTACCAGGCCTCGCCTTTGCGTCCATACCTGTCACCATCACTGTTTCACGGCGATTCATAAACACATGCTACTGATAAAGGGATTTCCCTTTTGATTTTCGAAAGTTTTTTTTATCGCCACGACTTAATTGTTTATCTTAGTGTGATCACACAGTAACCTAGCAAACAGGTTAAGACAGTGGTACCTTCACACATTCCACAGACAATCCGTTGGCAAGATTGCTACCTTAATTGGTTACAATGGTAATGTTAAGGGTTAAACTCTTGTGAAAGGTCAATATATTACGCATAACTTCAAAACATATTCTATCTGTAATCATATGCTGCTCTTTTGATCATGCATTATGAAAATGACATTAACCTTTTGTCATAGTTCCAAAATACATAATATTTTCTTCTATTTTTTGTCAATAATTTTGACTTTATAAAATAAGACTAAACAACATATTTTGTGTATATTACTTAATAATTTGTGTACTAAACGTTTATTATCCGTCGGTGTTGATATACGCCTGCCTTAATTCCCAAGATTCAGTCTATAAGCGTTTAATTATGAGCTAATCGTTAAGACTACATGTCCAGCGAAAGAAGTAAAGATTACTCTATGATAACGCTCTCTCCGAGAAAACTTTTGTAATTTTAGTCATTTCTGCATACTCATGTCCTTCAAAACTGCGAGGTAATCTCTAAATTCAGATAGTCAGCACGTTAGATTAGAAACATTGTGTAGGTTTTGTTTAAGTAAGTGATAATTGAAAATGCGATCATATCATGACCTAAGAGCATCGGTGGTATAAATAACAGCCTTTATTCCGGGTACCTCACTGATGAGATACACGGAATAAAGACTGGCCACTAACAGATGCTTCTCTTGGTTGTTTTAAGGTCGATATGTTCACTTGCTAATTCCCCGACAACTAATTCTAGGAATTATAATCAGCCTAGACCAAACATAAACCTTTAAAGGTTATTATAGGTCATAAGGTTTATTATACTTTTTTCAGTAAACCTTTGAGTTAAATTAAGAAAACGGGTTTGTTTATTCTATGGTTTATCATTTACGCCTTTGGCAAACTTAAATTTAGCTTAAACCGATGATGCTCTAAACGAGTTTCATCGCTTTTATAAACTCACTTACTGTGACTTAGTGCTGCGTGCTATTTTGTTATAGGGGGATACAAACTATGGCTCATGAACATTGGCGCAGTCAACTGGACTACCTCATCACCCTTCTGGGATACGGTGTCGGGTCGGGATCATTCGTCAGGTTTCCTTTCTACTGCATACGCAATGGAGGAGGTTGGTCTAATACTTTCACATTAAAATCTTAGTGCACATAATCAACAACTTAATGCATTAACATTATTTGTGAAGTGTTGTACTTGTCCGTCCTGTTGATCTGTGTATTTATGCCAAAACAAGATAATTTGGCCAAGAACTTGAACTTAATCTTCAGGGTTATCGATGATCTGATATCGTTAAATAACCATCAATGGACCAATTCCTTTCCACTGATTTACACATCTGAACTAGAAGTAAGGCGACCACTGAGACCATCTGTTTCATGCTAAGATCAATGCATACATATTCAGGACGACAATACACATTCCACAAGATTGAAAACTTTCAAATAGTAAAATTTCCCGTTATGTCGAGCAATATTCCAGCAACCCACGTCGAATACCCGGGTTCGACTCCCCACATAAGTACAATATGTGAAGCCTATTTCTGGTGTCCCCCCACCGTGATATTGCTGGGATATTGCTAAAAGCGGCGGAAAACTATAGTCACTCAATCACTCTTCCTCAAAAGTTGTTTATTCAAGGTTACAACATTCAAGGCCTCAGCGAAGCTTTCAACAAAAAGCTTTATGGTAGGCATGTGTTCTTTCAAGTGAATAATTGCCTTGCCTTTGCATGTGTTTGTGACGGTCGCCACAGGTGGGGCTGTACGCTCACCTTTTTGGGAACAGCTGATATCATCACTATTTGATAGTGATTCCTGATGCCCATTATTTAGTTGGAATCGTAATCTTATAGCAGAGATTTCTTTTGACTATGGAAACGGTCTTGTCGCTATGTTTTGATTCCAAACATGAAAACAATGTGTGAAACCTAAATGATTGATAATTGTAAAAGCGGCTATTTCATTCATTAAAGTTAACGCTCACTGCTTTGTTATAACTATTCTCAACACGAATTTCTGCCATGAGATATATTGGCCCGTGAATATCCGGGTAGAGAATAGGTCTTCAGCAACCCATGCTTGTCGTAGGAGGCGACTAACGGGATCGGTTGGTCAGGCTCGCTAACTTAGTAGATGAATGTCATCGCATCCCAAATGCGTAGATCGATGCTCATGATGTCAGTCACTTGGATTCGCTAGTCCCGACTCGATAATTTAAACGTCGTCATATTGGAATATTGCTTAGCGGGGCGTTTAAGAACAAACAAAAACACAAAACCACATAAGGTATATTATTTTGGTTTAATATTTATGTTGGAATAATCCATCATAGCTCAGAGGGAGTACTGAAATATTTGTTCGAGAAAAACATAAGAATTATTGATTTATTTAACACATTAAGTGACGAAAGCCCTCCAGGACTACTCTTGTTGTACCTGTGTTTCTGAAGGGGCACATATTTGTGATTGATAGCAGTGAACTACATTTTCACGCTAATGAAACATGCAATGACAGTCTGTAAAAAAATGAGGCATCTATTTTTGTTGACAAGGAGCGTTCCTGTTACTGTTCATGTTCTTCACAATAATTGGAGCCATCCCCTGCGTATTTCTGGAGATGACAATCGGACAGTTCTCTCAGAGTGGACCTATTAAAGTCTGGAATATGTGTCCTGCCTTCAAAGGTAACACTTGAAATATGTTCTAGTGGCAATAGACCGATATGCCCCAGTTTCATATTTCAATAGGGCAAGATCTATCTATTCAGTGGTGAAACATGCTCAAATATTAAATGTATTTCTTGTCAAGGAAAGGTACCCTAGTTTGAACATGTTAAGTGTTGGTTAGTTTGGGAGAAACAGTCGTCTATCCTGCATCCATTTCATATGCTAGAACCCAGTGAAAGTGTGTTTCAATCCCAGGTTAGCCCTGATTATGATCCTTGCCTTTTCACCAAAATACCATAGTGCAATTCAGTGAAGAAGTAAAGGTCTAATACCACCACCTCTTTCCTTCAGCATTAAGCTGTCTTACATCGGCACAACAGTAACACAATAAACTTCTTCACATAGTTTTCAAAATGGAAAGCGTTCCCTAAATCATTATGACACGCCCATATACCAATAGTCATATTTCATACTATTGCAGGTATAGGTGTTGGAAGCGTTGTTGTTACGTGGATATTCGTTAGCTACTACAACGTCAATTTCTCATGGTTTATGTACTACTTCTACTACTCCTTCACCCCCAACCTGCCCTGGGACCACTGCGACAACGCATGGAACACCCCGGCATGCATACACAACAAGAACGTGTCTGCTGTGTCTAATGATACAACGTCTAATACAACAGACGTTGGATACTCCATCAACGGAACAGTCCGAGGGATGACAGCTGCCGAAGAATTCTGGAAGTACGTTTACACATAAACGTTGTTGTGTTTAGGCTTACATCGTATTAGCTCCGACAGCGCTTGCAGAACATATAATGCATTTATCTCCAACCTCCTGGTACTACATTCTAATGCTTTGTAACTTTGTAATTGAAAAGATACCTCAGCAATGTATATATTTGTTCAGCAAGCAACCCGTGTAAATGGGTCATACCAAAGTGGTCAACTCTCTTATTAAGACGCACCCTGTCTTTGATGTTGTAGGCTGTAGACATAATGATGATCCCTTCTCCAGATTTCAGATGCTGGGACAGAGTGATGGCCTGGACAATCTTGGAGGTCTAAGATGGCATCTTGTTGGATGTCTGGCCGTCACCACAGTGCTCTTATTTGTTTGGATATTTCAAGGAATAAAAGTATCAGGGAAGGTAATATGCTGCTGTCAACGCATAAACGGTGGGTCAAGACAGAGGCTACGACTGCAAATGTAGACAGAAATTGTCTTACGTGGACATTATTCATCTCTGATATATTTACTAGCCTTTCGACTGTCCGACTGGAATGTCCGAGTGACTCTGCATTCCTTAATAATAATAGAGCCGAGCCCCAATAGATTTAAGGAATGGAGAGTTACCACAATATTCTCCCGTTCAAAACACATTCTTATTCTTACGCTTGACAAAATATACGAACGAGCCGTGTCCCATGAACTGTAAAGATCAGTTCGTGCAACAGAGGCAAAGAACACAATCAACTGTCCATTCCTGAAAAATAATAGATCGCCCAAGCAATAGAATGACGTCACCGGTCGGTTTTAAACAATTTATATATCTATTATAATACATTAAGAATGCCTACTTTCATCCAGAAATCTTTAGTTAACGTTCAACCAGTGAAATCAAGGTTCGCCAGAAAGCATTTCCTTAGTTAATCTAGTCGTTACTCTTTCACTCATTCACTCACTTATTCTTTTCTACCAGCTTGTTTACATCACCGTGGCCGTACCCTACATCCTCATCTTCATCTTCCTCATCCGGGGCTGTCTACTTCCGGGGTCAGCAGAAGGAATATACTTCTACATCTATCCTAAGTTTGATAAGCTTACAGACCCGAAAGTGAGCCCAATTTTGTTTAATACACATATTAGTTAAAGCAACAAAAGCAAAGATTAGTATTTTTATAATAAATCCTAACATGTCAAGAACATTATTGTACTTCTTGAGGTGCATGTAAATACCATCATCAAAGATTCAATTACTAGTATACCTTAAGCTTCTGATAAGCTCTCTACATACACGGCACGTTTCTATGACTGCAGGTGTGGATAGAGTCGTGTCGCTACGCCCTGGCTTCTATGGGTATAGCCTTTGGGTGCATCATCACTATGTCTGGACACAACAGAATAGATAACAACTGCTTCAGGTATATTTTATAAGACACAATGAATATAAGAAACTGTGTTTTAGACAGTACGACACTATTGTAAAACATGATGCATGATACAAGACAATGTAACATTGAATATTTAGTGTGCTTATCTCTCGTCTACCGTGACAACGCAAACTGTTCAGATAATTGGGGAAGAGGTTGTTAGTAGCTTGTAGAACACCTAATACAGTAAGAATAATTTTAGGGTGGAGTATATTTTACTGTATATCAACGAACATTTTGATTTACATCAAAATATTTACATGCATATATGAGATCCGTTAGAAGTGTCTCTTGGGCACGCCAGAAACCTATGCTTGTGGGTTCGAATCCCGGTTCGCCCCGATTATGTTTCTAGGTTTGTCAGCACCATACCCGTGCTCGTGGGTTGACACCGAAGTGGTAAACGTCTGTGACCTGCATCACTTCGGGCTTTCCTCCCACATTAAGCTGACACGCTTGCGATATAACTGGAATACTGTTAAAAGCGGCGTTAAAGCCAACTCACTCAATCACTATGACATTAGAAGTGTGTAGCCCAGCTTCTTCAAGAGCAAACATGGACACCTCTGATTGATCGGTCTAACTCGAGAATTTCCAATGGTAAAATTAGATGTTAACCGGCATGGAACGAAGACTTGATTATCTTGATGAAATGTGCAAATATCTGAAAGCTTTAACATTCAATCTCTCACGCACTATAATTACAGTATATTGTTAATGTATCGTTTCTTCAAGGGATGCAATAATAATTTGTCTGATGGATTCACTCTCCAACGTCTTCTTCGGCTTTGCTTTCTTCTCTATCGTTGGTCACGTGGCCTTCCAGCGTGGAGTAACTGTTGAAGCGTTTCAATCATCTGGTAAGTAACATATTCGCAGTTTTACTTGTCGTTTGCTTATGACTATGCGCATTTCCATGATGCATTTAGGATACAGGATGCTCAATTTGTCATTTTACAACAATGACCCGATTGAAGGCTTTGTTTGTAAAAAGTGATCATGCAATGGAACATATCAGAGCGCGGAACAAACAAGAGCAGCTGCATGACGTGTCACCAATAAGACATGCCTAAGAACATTTTTGTGGCAAACACAAAATGATAAGGACAACTTCAATTTTGGAAATGTTCTCCACATATCTACCATCAAACTCTTTGAAAGCTTTACTGAGGCTTTGAATGGTGCAACCATTGATCAAACATTTTCTGTGCAAAGCTCTTTTGATGCTCTTTAAAAACGTGGGAGAAAGAGCCTGCTCCATTGTACCTCAAAATATGTGAACTGTGGACACTAAGGGCTGGAGCTGAAGAAATATTGCTCGACATAAATGGAAAGGGACTTTTCGAAAGTTGTAGTCATCCCTCTTGTCATACAGTCGTGTGGTGAGTGTTTTTGTTACTTTGAATCTTCATGCATTTTCTAGTTCAGGTGGGTAAATAAGTGCTTCAGCATGCCTGTGACGAACTTTCCAAACAAGGTAGGGGCAAGTACACAGTCCTACTTTACACCACTGCGGATGTCTAAAGCCTCAGAGGACGAGCTGTCCAACTTTTCATGTCAGTGTGGAGAGACTGGATCATATTGAGGAGCCTCTCCGGACACAATCGTGTCAGGCATGGATCATTCTTCTCTGAATCCACACTGATTTGGGATACACACAATCAGCAAGTGTCTGAAGTCTGTTCAGTCCCACACAAGGGGAAGCTTTCCTGCGTTGCTCAGCAGAGAGATCCAGATATAGTTGTGGCAAACGCTTCTATCACCCTTGTTTTAGTAGAAGGTGAGGTTGTTGCAGTATCACATGCCCTGGTCATGGGGTACCATACCCTCTTCCCAACACTGAGATAGAGGTTCATACAGGTGGTCGATCACGGATGCTATTCCTGTTTTCGGTAATTTGCTTCATCTCTTCAGAGAGCTTGCAGGGTCTTCTGGTAGGGGTAGCGCTTGAAGTATATTTGTGCTGTGCTTCGTCAGTGATAGGCCCGCAGGAATGAACTTTAAGCCAATCATGAGTTTACCCCTGCTTCTTCCTAAAGGCTGAGAATAAACGGTCGAGGAAAGTGTCTCTCAGATGGCCCCATTTTTGCCTGGTATGGGGACTTGCTGACATAGATCGAGCTTAGCATCTTCTTTGGCTGGAACCTGATCTTGCAGCACACCGAGGTACAAACATGTGATAAGTATGTTACTGAGATGGCGCTTACTGGTGACGATCAGGTCCAGCTGATACCAGTGCTGGGAGCAGAGTGTCTCTAGGACACCTTGTGCCAAGGCGTAGTCTGGAAGAAGGATTCGGTGCTGCACAGATAGTGGTGTCTGCCGAGAAACAGTCCATCTTAATTCATCTTCGCTCTTCCGTATTGTCCCAGACAGCAGGGGCTTGATTATGTGTTTCACAAATAACGACAATTCCCACTCTACTCCCGAAAATAAAATGGTTGCTTACAAACGACGTTACATATGGCTTCAGCCTCTTAGGCACTGCTTGTATGTGCCCTCGTGAAATTCGACGGTAGGTTGTGATGATGGAGATCTCTCGCTACACGTGTCATACTAGCTGTTATTTAGTATCTGAGCATGGTGCATTCTGTATCACTCTAATAATGGGCGGACGTTTGTTGCCATGTTAGACTTAATGCAAACCTTCAACACCCACGATCCATGTTTAACATTAAAAGTGTTTTCAGAACATGCGTAGAAAGGCATCCCTTGGCCAGTTTGTCTTATGGACAAGAACAAACAGTGTTTGTTTTGTGTTCGAATCCAAAAACCGATGTATAGAAGGTTTCCAGACGTGTTATTTCATAACTGTGTATGTATTGTTGTTCAAACAGAATATCATGGAGATCGAGGGTTACAACATGGACTGTACGTTTCTTTTGAAACTCAGTAAAATATTACCTTTGGCATCCAACTGGGGAATTAACGTTACATTTACTACCCTACATGTGTTTCAGGGTATGACCTTCCCTTCATCGTCTACCCCGAAGTGGTTTCTGCTCTCCCTCTGCCACAGTTATGGTCTGTGCTGACCTTTGTGACCTTGATGTCGTTGGGTATCGATTCTGTGGTAATGTTTGTCTGTTTGTTGTTTAACGCCGCCCTCAGCAATAGTCCAGCTTTATGACGGCGGTCTGTAAATAATCGAGTCTGGACAAGACAATCCAGTTATTTACAAGTGGGATACGATCACATGCATCGACCGGTGACTAGGCCATTTTCAAAGAGGTTTGTGTGAAACAATGCTCCTTCCAGGGAAATGTCTTGTGACCTTGTGTGTATTATACATGCGCTTTGATATATTTTATTTCCACAAATTGCGATTTTGGGTTAAACATCCCACGATCAATGCAATATGCGTCCATGTAAAGCTCCACTTTATTGTTTACATTCATATAACGTTGAGTGGCTTAGATACGGTGACTATTAAAATACCAAGCAGACACGAACGCGACCACCTCAATGTTGTTGGAACATGTGTACATGTGCAGGTACCGAGTGTGGAAATTGTCGTCGCTGCCTTGGAAGATATGTTACCGCCGTCGAAGTGGCGACGCTGGCTCATCATTGGTTCTGTTCTACTCAGTCTCTTCCTGTTTGGTCTGATATTTACTTCACAGGTAGAGTTAACACACTCGACTGGTCTGGTTCAAATTGGTTTGTTTATGTTGCTCAGGTAGTAGTGAATATGCCCGTTTGATCTGATATATATTCCAGAGGTATAAGAAAACCTGTCGTTTATGTTAAAATTTCGCCGCGATTACTCATTGGTTGACCGTTTCATCAAGACAAGGGCAGTTTCAGGGTTTGACTTCGACAATTAACATGTAAGCGTCTTAGAATTTAATTCGTTTCCCATGTCAGCGGGCATCTCATCATCAATTACTTGAAAGAAATTGGTCTGTATAATAAATTTTAAATATGTATGTGAATAATTAAATGCTTGTTTTTAACTTTGGTGTGATGCTACTATTAACAGACATTATTGAAGGCTCTGTCCAGGAGGTTAAAGTACCGTACAAATATTGCCCCCCTGTGTGACACGTAATCCTATCATAATCAATGTAACTATCATCAACCAGTGTTTTTAAGCCAACTCATTAATGAGTATTTTTTAATATTGGCTATCATTGTAAACAACCACCAGTGGCTAAAGTGATGACGTAAATCCTGCTGGGGTATCATGCAGGAAGCAGAGGTACTGTAAGTCCCCATGATCCCCAGCGAGGTGGCCTAGCTTTGGTTACTGGTGGCCTAAAGCCCGTGTTTTAAAACTGTATATATAATATTGTTATGCTCGAATGTTTCATGAATTGTTTCTAAATATAGCATGCTCAAATATGTTTTACAACTTGTTTTTAAACACAACTTTGCATAAATGACAAAATTGTTAATATATTAACTTGGTCTCGTCGCTATATGGCTGAGATAATGCCGATGCGACGTTAAATTTTAACTCACTCACTCACTAAAAACAAATTAGTCAGAGGTATGATTATATCCTTACGGAAACCTATCACTTTACTTAATTAATTTGTGCTACGAAAGACTGCTAAGTGTGACATCATATCATATTATACTCAACAATGTGACAATATGACATCAGAAAATTTCAAATGACAAAGGAAGTTCGTGAATCTCATAAATGCACATGTAAGTTAATATCAGTGAGTGAGTGAGGTTTTACGCCGCTTTTAGCAATATTCCAGCAATATCACGGCGGGTGACACCAGACATGGGCTTCACACATTGTACCCACGTCGGGAATCGAACCCGGGTCTTCGGAGTGACGAGCGAACGCTTTAACCACTAGGCTACCCGACCGCCCCAAGTTAATATCAGGAAGTTATTCCACCCAAGATTTCAACCCTTTTACGTAATTTATTTAAGGGTGGGATATTCGTGGTGACGCTGTTTGACTGGTATGCCTACTTCCCATCAACAGCTGTGTTGGGCATCCTAGAGTGCATCGCTGTTGGCTGGTGTTATGGTAAGAATGCATCAACCTTGTTATTTGCCACTTTTAAAAATGTCATCTAAAAACAATTCACGTTACTATATTCTATTTTTGTGACATGAATGTGATTATGAATAATCATAATCCCTTGATGTTTATACTTAACACGATGATCAGCTTTCAATGTGTAAAATATGTTCTCCGTACATCTACAACCAAACCACATCTTGCATTTACAATAAATGAACAAAACCCTTTCCATGTCGAATTTAAATCTGTACGATTGTATAAAAAGTCAAATCGTTAACGTTTTGATATTGTCCCCCAACTTGAGACTGGATACCACATAAAATCGACAAATACATAACCATAAGATATATCTACTTATTAAAAGCAAAATTCTTTGTACCCTGTTTAAACTCTTCGTGGAAAGAGCATGGTCGATTATTTGTCAAAGTTGTGACCTGCTGGGATACTGCTCGACATAAATGGATACAATCTTGTGGATAGTTCGTTGCCAAAGTTCATAATATATGCACTCAGCCATTTCTCGCTACATTTCCTTGGCTACTTATAAGGTTGGATGGTTTGGTAAAACAACAAAGGACAAAACATTAATTGTTCCTTATCAGCTTAGTAAATGAGGCCAGAAATGTTGCAAACCTGATTCTACAGTTTTTACGAGACTGGTTAATCTGCAAACATTTCGTTGGCTCCAGTCATTTCAAGAACATCTTTGGATAGCTGTATGTGAATAGTTCAGAATCAGTTACAAAAGGACACGTTATATCTGGCCGTGCCATGTGTTCATTACCTTCAATTTCAATTTGCAAAATACATATGATTGCCAGTCTATAACAAAATTTTGATGTTATTAATTGATCATGATTTACTTCCAGGAATAAAAAGGCTCCAGGCGGACGTTCGAATAATGTGGGGAAAAACGATACCTCGGGTCATGGTCATATGTTTCAAATTTGTTTGTCCTATTTTTCTAGTTGTAAGTAGTTCTTGATTACTAAAGCTTCGATAGTGACATACTACTGCAACATTTTAATGCATCTTAAAAAATTGTCATTTTAAGACATAGTGAATAGTGCCGAGCCAGGTATAAAAACATTCGAAGAATATTTCTGTAGATTCAGTAATTCTTCACTTCTCAAACTTCGACACTTGCATACAGCTAAGGAATTGCTGTGCATAGTACAAAATTGCCATCTTACCACACCTTGAAAAAAGAGGGACCTGGATAAAACAGCCTTCGAAGAGTGAGTGAGTACAGTTTTACGCCGCTGTTAGTAAATATTCCAGCAATATCACAGCGGGAGACAACGAGCGAACGCTTAAACCACTAGGCCGACCGACCGAAGTAAAACTTATCAGATAAAAAGAATGTAGAACTTTAACACTTTTGTCAAACCTATAAGTGGTTACCGTAGCGGTATCAGATCAAGTATTAATATATGAACGAATCTTGGACGCCAATTCATGCAGCCATAAGAAAGCAGGATGTGGTGTTTTTAGACCACTTGCCACATCAGATGTTGGTGAATATGAAAAACATAACGTGACAACAGTTTTAATAATAGTATTTGTATTGTTATATTTAAGGTCGCCCCAGTTTGGGTCCATATTCATTGCGTGCCATATGCATTCTACTTGAAATTGCATGTTAATTCGAACTTAAACTGTCTTATCTAATCCTCTTATTTGACGACCGTAGTTACCATGTCCCCACCAAATTTTCAACAGCAGTGCCGTAGAAGAAAAGGAAATGTTGTTCAAAGCGTCCCTCAAACAACTGTTTATTCACACCAGTAAAAGAAAGACATGCAACTTTGACCACGATCTTTGAAACGTCTTCAAACATACACATACTCGGAACACTGTCTACATCTCACATATGTTCAGCTTATACAGCAACACTAAGGGTGTAAGATATAGGTTGAATTCAAAATTTCTTTACTGATAAACAGGTATCAATTGGCAATCATAATAGCAATATTATCTTTATTCTTACACTGAGGGTGAACAAAGCATTATATTGTGGCGCTCACTCACAACAAGGCACTCAAAGCTGATGATCATCTTTAGGCCAATACTTACGTTTTTGTAGTTTAATCACTTTTTGTTAGCCACCATTAAAACAGCTTTTACTCAGATCTTTAAGTTGATGACTGAATGGTGATAAACGCTGCAATGAGCAACAGTATTCTGTGGACTGTAAATAATTTCCCTGACTCTTAACCAAGCACGAGCAAAGAACTATAACATGAACTCTATTGACACTTTTGACAAACGATGTCACACAATCAACTGGGCACACGTTGTTGTAAATGATGTCTAGACTTATGATATTTGTGCTCTGGGCTACTTTTAGTGGATGTAAACCTTAGCCAATCATATGAATGTGACACACAAACCTTTATTTACTTGTTTTTGAACAAATGCATTGTGTACTGGGACCTTTCCGGTCATAATTTCCTTCACTCTATCCTTATTTCTGTTTTCGTTGCTTAAGACCGTAGTAACATTTCACCTTCATGACTACAGCCACAGCAGACTGTAAATAACTGAGACAAATCATTTTATGATAAAATTACAATTCTTCAAGCCCGTCATTCGGCTCAAATTAGTCGCTTCTTACGACAAGCACAAGTTCCTGGACACCCTTTCTAATCTGTTATCCCAGAGGGTTTGATCCTTGTGCATGAGATGGATCAACAGTATTTCCCTGATATTCTTGTGGGAAGGTACAAAACTAAATATAAGATGTCATCCAAGAGAATAAACAGCCTTGATATTATGCTGAAACAGTTTCCACTTGACGTCAAGGGCAAATAGCTGTGGAAATTATATGTTTCGTCCACTGAAAATTAGTTGCACCAGGTGTTTGCAATGTAAGCATGTCTTGCCCAACCAATGGTACCCGCCATAAAGCGAGACGAAATAAATGAATGTCCCCCGATCCTCAGTTTTGTAGCCGAGTACGACAAGCAAAAAGAGACTGTGTGTATGTGTAATACTCCATCTGTTGTACCAGGTGATCTGCTGCTACTCCCTGTACTCCTACCGACCCCCCCAGTACCATGACTACATCTACCCCACCTGGGCAACAGCTGTTGGATGGCTCATAGCCTTTTCGTCACTCCTGCCATTACCGGCTGTCTTCATCTGGACGGTTTACAACACTCAAGGGGCAACACTGAAAGAGGTAAATACAACTCGAATCTAACCTGAATCACATGTTCAGCTTTGAGGACAACGCAGTTGGTGTATGCTGCCTGTTGTATAGCTATGCTTTGTTCTGGGTTATGCTTTGTTACTTAAGTTGACATGTAACAGAAGATGGGTGAAAGATGACAATATGTGAGAGATCAAGAATGTACATTACTTTGAATAAAATGAACACATTGCACTTGCCTTGATGAATGCATAGAATCTCGTAATATTGAGGATGCGGCACTATATTTTGTAAATAAAATTATCATTTATGTTAACGCTGTTTAAATTACCAAATATATATTTGTCTATTACAACGAGTGTTTTATTGCATGAAGCATTAGAATTATGTTAATAATTGGATTATATGCTTTCATACCATTTGATCTAAATGCTTTCATCAATCAAATTTCAGAAAGTTAAGAAAACCCTAGAACCCAA